GGTTTTGATTTACATTTGCTTAGTGATTAGTGAGCTCATATCCACTTTTACTTGAACAGGAAGCAACATCTGCCACTTTTGCTCTTAGCTTTGTGGCAAGAACTAGTTACGTGGCTTTAACGTAACTGTGGGAGGATGGGAAATGTAAGTGAGTCCATGGACTGATTAGTGACCTGTGTGTCACTGACATGTAGTGTTCCCAGTGATGATGGCTTGGTGAACACAGGCTTCAGAGGCAAGCCAACCATACTGTTGGGAAACTTTGGTTTTCATGGTGAAGGGCATATACTGGCTAAGTTCCATTTCTCCTTCCCCCTACTTATAAAAATGTGTTTTTGTGACCACTGACAAAAATCAGCTGTATTAAGAGTACAGAAAGAGGCCTTTGGAGATTCACACATTAAAGAAAACTTTTTTAAGATAATGAAAAAGAAGAATAGTATAGTGAACAGTATTATATCCTTTACCTTGTCTGTATTACATCTAGAATTATTGAAATTCTCAATTAATCTCAAGGTTAATCTCAATCTTCAGTTGGTCTTAAGTCTTCAGAATGGAACTGAATAACCATAAGTACTACCTTAGATGAGTGCGATTTAGGAAATAGATTTAACATGAACCTTGTGATGACTATTTACATATTGGCTGGCAGTCTTAAAATTGATCCTTGTCTGCTATATTTTGTCCAGTATAGTTCTTGAAATATATGTTTGTAAAGAATGATTATTATAAATAGATTTTAAGAGGAACATACTAGACTTTAGTCTCTCAAGAAAAATAGTCTCCCCTTCCCCAAATGCTTTATGGATATGTTTCCATAATTCTTTCCTTGATCAATTTAAGAGCTTTTCCATGGAAAGGATTTTTTTTTAATGTTTATTTATTTATTTTTGAGAGAGAGACAGAGAGAGAGAGAGAGACAGAGAGAGAGAGAGAGATGTGCATGTGAAAGAGAGTGTGAGCAGGGAGAGGCAGAGAGAGAGAGGTAGAGAGAGAATCCCAAGCAGGCTCTGTGCTGTCAGCATGGAGCTGGATGTGGGACTCAATGTTGTGGACAGTGAGATCATGACCTGAGCCAAAATCAAGAGTCAGATGTTTAACTGACTGAGCTACCCAGGCACCCCTCATGGAAAGGATTTTTCTTTTCTTTTCTTTTCTTTTCTTTTCTTTTCTTTTCTTTTCTTTTCTTTTCTTTTCTTTTCTTTTCCTTTCTTTTCTTTTCCTTTCTTTTCTTTCTTTTCTTTTCTTTCTTTCTTTCTTTCTTTCTTTCTTTCTTTCTTTC